TTTTATATTTTATATTTAAACAACATGTATCGTTTATCGACAATTTACGATATTATTGATCGATTCCCTAAGGCATTTCAACATTAATGTATCGTTTATCGAAGATATACGATATTATCTATCAATATTATAAAATATATCAACATTTGTTAAACGTTTGTAGACTATTTACGACATATTTGTTTATCGATTGTCGATAAACGATCACATGAATATTTGCATCGATATGAGTAACAGTTTTCAATTGAAATCAAATCAACCACAATTGGAGCTAATATTACTTATCATATACCTATAACTATAACTATAACTATAGCTATAGCTATAGCCTGGTATTCACTTATAGTTCTATATATACATTTAGTTATATATTATATCAATATTTGATATATTTCATTTGAGAGTCACTCACCTTATGGGCTCTGATGGATGGGCCCCCTGAACAAGCTAATGTAACGTCCACCAGGCTCCCGTCCTGTAATAATTGACTAAACACCCCTAACAGGTTGGATTGATGATTGTTCCACCTCAAGCAGTATTGCTCACTGCCCATGTCGGTGACAGCTTACGCTGCTGCAATTAGATCAAGCAAAAAATGAAATGTAAATATAAATATTAGTTACGATTTTAATTTGATATGGGATATATATATATAGAAAAGTTTAACTCTATAAATTATGCACTCAAATCTTGGAGAGCTAGTCTAATTCTAAGAGAATCATATAATGAATCATCTTTGATAACGAATCTTCTATATACACATTTTTTTTTTTTTTTTCTTAATTCCAACTAATTTCATGTTTTCAGTGAATAGTTTAGTAATTGTATAATTGATATATGTTTCTTTAGTTGCTTATTTATCGCTATCGTTATCGTTATTGATCATTATCGACATCGACGAATTGCATGTGCATGCGAATATTTGTTCAATTAAACGCTGCAGCGTTTTGCCAATTGAAGACATTGCGTAATGTTTACACACACACACACACACAGGCATACACACACACATCAATGCATGCACATATAGACATATCTGTTCGTATCTCTATTGGTAATTAATGGTAAAACGTGTGGCAAAATAAGAAGGAAAAAAAGGCGGTCAGGGTTCAAAAATGTCACTGACAACCTCTTGACAGTCAGGTGGAAGGGGCGTGGCTGTGGCTAGGGCGTGGTACTACCACAGATCGGCTTGACTTGCAATTTTTGTGCAGCAAAATATGAAAGATTGAAAAAAAGAAACAACTCAAAATTGGCATTAAAATTGTTTTGTTAGTTTTTTTTTTTTTTTTTTTGTCTTAGCTTGTGCGGCTATAATCATGGCTATAATCAAAAG